AAAAGAAAATGCCCCTCCCCGAAAGTGCGCCGTAAGAAAACTAAAGTCACCTCCAGACGATTGCCAAATTCCCAGGGTAATGGGGATGAAAAAACAAAACCGAAGGCTCCTGTTGATCCAATCCCTGGATGCAGCAAGAATTTTCCGCCATTGCCCAACAAAGATAAAAAAAATAAAAAAGCTGCTCCTCAAACTTCTCAAAAGAAATCCAAGTCCGAACGAGGTTTGCTAGCTTTTTCGGACATTGTGGAATTCATATTAAACATGTTCAACATACAAGACCCTCTAAGAAGCTTAGTTTCTGCCTTGCTTCCAACGTTAGAATCATATCTTAAGCAGTTGACTGTTTCATGGCCCCTCCTTGCATCAATCATATCTTTCGATGGATAATTCGTCGAACGAGGTTGAAGATATGATCACTGTGCTACAGTGGAACTGCCGTAGTCTAGTGCCTAAACTAGACTCGTTCAAATTTCTACTTCACAATTCTGATTGTGATATATTTGCTCTCTGTGAAACATGGCTTTCTTCCGATAAAGAACTCAACTTCCACGATTTTAACATTATACGCCTGGATAGAGACGATTCTTATGGAGGAGTACTTTTAGGGATCAAAAAGTGCTACCCTTTCTACAAAATTTCCCTTCCTGCTCTATCCGGCGTCGAAATCGTTGCTTGCCAAATAAATGTGAAGAACAAAGATCTTTGCATAGCTTCAGTATACGTTCCACCAAGAACCTCCATTAGCCGTAGTCAACTCTGGAATCTAGTTTCGATTCTTCCATTCCCAGTATTAATTCTGGGTGATATGAACTCCCATGGTACTGGGTGGGGCGATCTATATGACGACAATAGAGCGGCTATTTTTTACGATTTATGAGACGATTTCAATTTGACTATTTTGAACACTGGTGAAGCGACACGTATAGCAAAACCTCCGGCTCGAGAAAGCCGACTCGACCTATCTTTGTGTTCAAGATCGCTATCATTGGATTGTCAGTGGAAGGTTATCAATGATCCCCATGGTAGCGATCATTTGCCAATCATCATTTCAATAAAGTGTGGCCCTCACTCTGCAGAACCATCTCGGGTTCCATTTGATCTTACAAGGAACATCGACTGGCAGAAATATGCAACGGCGGTGACAATCGGTGTCGAATCAATAGATGCGCTTCCACCATTGGAAGAATATCGATTCCTAGCCGATTTGATTTACAAAAGCTCACTGGAAGCACAAAAAAGAAAAGTTCCAAGTGCACCCTTTAAAAGGAGACCAGCCACACCTGGTTGGGACGAAGAATGCACAAAATTGTATGTAGAAAAATCTGATGCTTTCAAAGCTTTTCGTAGACACAAAACCTCCACTTACTTCGAGGAATATTCAAAGCTTGAGACAAAGCTGAAACAATTAATCAAAGCAAAAAAACGCGGTTATTGGCGCAATTTCGTCGAGGGACTCTCACGAGAAACCTCAATGAACACCTTGTGGAGGGTGGCTCGCAACATGCGTAACCGCTCATCTTTCAATGAGAGTGAAGAATACTCCAACCGATGGATATTCGATTTCGCTAAAAAGGTCTGTCCGGACTCAGTTCCAGCACAAAATATTCTTCGAGAAGCGTCTCCTAGCGGCGGCTCTCTGGATAGACCATTCTCAATGCTGGATTTCTCTATGGCTCTTCTTTCATCGAACAACTCCTCACCGGGAAGCGATATGATTAAATTCAATCTTCTGAAAAATCTCCCAGATATCGCTAAAAGACGCTTGCTAGATTTATTCAATTCCTTGCTAGAAAACAACATTGTACCGCCTGAATGGAGACAGGTCAAAGTAATAGCCATTAAAAAACCTGGCAAATCAGCGTCTGACCATAACTCATACCGTCCGATTGCTATGCTTTCGTGCATTAGGAAATTGTTGGAGAAAATGATCCTTCGGAGACTCGATCACTGGGTCGAATCAAATAACTTGCTATCAAATACACAATTTGGGTTCCGCAAGAGCAAAGGAACAAACGATTGTCTAGCGCTGCTTTCCACAGATATTCAACTGGCCTTTGCACACAAGGAGCAATTGGTTTCAGTATTCTTGGACATTAAGGGGGCTTTTGATTCAGTTTCCATTGAAATTCTGTCAGACAATCTGCACAGATGTGGACTTTCTGGAATTTTAAATAATTTCTTGTACAATTTGTTGTCAGAAAAGCAAATGAACTTTTCTCTTGGACAACTGACAACTTCCAGAATTAGTTACATGGGCCTGCCCCAAGGCTCATGTCTCAGCCCTCTTCTTTATAACTTTTACGTCAAAGATATCGACAACTGTTTGGCAGAACAATGCACGCTAAGACAACTTGCAGATGACGGTGTGGTTTCCGTAAGAGGTCCACATGCCGTGGACTTGCAAGGACCATTGCAAAATTCTTTAGATAACTTGTCTTCTTGGGCTATGAATCTAGGGATCGAATTCTCGCCGCAGAAAACTGAACTGGTAGTGTTT